GCTGTGGGGTGTATCTGATTGAAGGTAAAGATCCTGTTTCCATACAATTCGCTCCTGGATCTCCACAAATAATTGAACTTAAAATTGTCATTGAAGTATTTAATCAATGTCCTTTTCCATTCAATTTATTGTCAGATTCATTTTATGTAGTCAATGCTGTAAAAATTCTAGAGGTGGCGGGTCCGATCAGACTGGCTAGTTCTGTATGTTCATTGTTAAAGGAATTACAAAAGCTGATCCTTACCAGGAGTCAATGCTTTTATATTCAACATATTAGAGCACATACGGGATTGCCTGGACCTCTGGCTACAGGCAACAGTATTGTGGACTCCTGGACTAGAGCTGATTATATTTTTCTTGGAACTGCTACTGAGTTAGCTGCTCGCTTTCATAAAACCTTTCATGTTAATGCTAAAACCTTACAACAAAAGTTTAAATTGTCTAGAAATGATGCTAGGCAAATTGTACTCGACTGTCCATATTGTGTGGTCCATCATCATCCTCCTAGCTTAGGAGTTAATCCTCGTGGATTATTACCCTTAAAGTTATGGCAAATGGATGTTACTCATTTTTCTGAATTTGGGAATTTAAAATATGTCCATGTCTCAGTGGATACCTGTTCTGGTGTTATTCATGCAACACCTTTAAGTGGAGAAAAGGCACGAAATGTTATCACTCATTGCTTGGAAGCATGGGCTGCCTGGGGTCGCCCTCAGCAGTTGAAAACAGACAATGGGCCGGCCTACACGGCTCAAAATTTTGTAAGCTTCTACAAACAAATGGAAGTAACAATTAATCATGGCTTGCCATATAATCCACAAGGGCAGGGTGTAGTTGAACGTGCTCATCGCACCCTCAAGAAATGTCTGTTAAAACAAAAAGGGGGAATAGGCCAAGGCCGCACCCCTAGAGAAAGAATATCCCTTGCCTTATTTACTTTAAATTTTTTAAATTTGGATGTGGAAGGAACATCCGCAGCTGACCGCCATATACAACATTCTCCCGCTAATAGAGGTTTTGTAAAGTGGAAAGATATTATTACGGGAGAATGGCAAGGACCTGACCCTGTCTTAGCGTGGATGAGGGGGTCTGTTTGTGTGTTTCCACAGAATCGTCAGGATCCCGTGTGGGTGCCCGAGAGGCTGACAAAAAAGATTCGTCATAAAGGCTCCAGCGTGGTTGCTGCTCCTGACCCTAGTGTAGAACCAAATCAAACAAGTCAAGACAGTCCAACGATGGGGAATTCTTTTTGTCTGAGCATCTTTTAGGGAACTGGACCGGAGAGTTTGACACCATGATGGAACGGCTAAGAGTGGCCATCGTCCACGTAAATTCAACCAAAATTGATCTCTCCCTGGCTACAGGATGGACATCTTGGATTTCTTCCGCCCTGAATCATCTTAAGGAATGGGCGGGTATTGGGGCGGTAGTTTGCCTTCTGATATTGACCTCTCTGGTGGGCCTGTGGTGCTTGTGCCGGATGAGGATTACACAGAACCGAGACGGGGCTATGATTATTCAAGCGCTCACAGCCATTGAGGCTGGGCAGTCCCCCCAAACATGGCTTGCAGCCATAAAATTATGAGGCATCGCGTTCAGGCTGCACGGCACAGCACTGCACATGAGAATCGCTGTCTGCTGTTAGTGGTCTCATGGGGAGCATGTCTGATTGCATGCGGGTTAGTACCGTCCTCTCCCAATAAATCCTTTAACAACTCCCGCCTCTGGAAAAAGGGTACTGGACGGGTTGGACTCAAGTCGGGTTGAAAAACCTGATGTAGAGTCTATACAATGTCCTTTATGGTTGCCAGAGATCAGACCTCTACTCTCAGCCTGTTTCGCTTCTAAACAATAAGGGGGAACTGTGGAGAGCTGCGTGTGCCGCGCCTTAAAGATGGCGCTGGTTTCCGCCTTCCGCCATCCCGACGGCGAGAGCTCTTTATGATAAACAACTCCTTATTTGGCTGTGATGTGTCTGATGCTCTGCCCCCTCTTACGTGTACCTATCCGCATTCGCCACATGACTATCCGTGATTGGTTGGTTCAGGGGTACTTATTCTAGGGATGGGTGCTCCCCAGGGGTAGAAGAAAAAGAATGTTAAGTTTTCTTGAATAAACTGCTAGAAGAAGAGCGTTGGTGTTGCGTCGTCATTGCTGGTCAAAGGCGAACGCGACAAATTTGAACCTGTACATAATAGAATTTGATTCTTCCCCCCCCATTCAATGCCTCTTCCCCTTATTTATAAAAGCTTTGTTCCTATTTTTTCCTTCTATTCTTTTTTTCTTTTTGTCTCCTTCCTTTCTCTCTCCCCCCTTCCTGTTCCTCTTCCCATATTAACATTTTCTTCCTATTTCCCAATATCTGTTGTATTTTTGGCCCTTATTTACCCTTTCAATTTCTTACATCAGAGAAACAATGCGATATTTAAACATATGTGCCCGATTTATTTCACTTAAGAGTATGGTCTCGGCCGGACATGGTGGTGCACTCCTGTGATCCCAGGACTCAGGAGCCAGCCTTGGCTACATAGTGAGTTCAAGGTCAGCCTGAACTGCATAGTGAGACCCTGTCTAAAAAAAAAAAAAAAGAAAAGAAAAAGAAAGAAAGAAAAGGGTATCAAGGTGCATCCATTTACCTAGAAATATCTGAAGTTTATGATTCTTTATAGCAGAGTAGTACTCCATTGTCTAAAAAAACCCCCACATTTTCTTTATCTATTCATCCATTAATAGGCATTTGGGCTGTTTCCAAGATTTAGCTATTACAAATTGTGCTGCTATATACATGCATGTGTGCATATTGCTGTGGTATGATTTTAACTCTTTGGGAAGATGCCAAGAGGGGGAATACCTGAGTCAAATGGAACCTCTAGTTTTAGTTTTTGGAGGAATCTCCAAACTGATTTCCATATTGGATGCACCAATTTACACTCCCACCATCAGCGGAGAGAAGGGTTCCTTTCCCCCCACAGCTTTGTCAGCATTTGTTATTGGTTGATTTCTTGATAACAGCCATTCTTTATGGAGTGAGGTGGAATCTCAGTGTTGTTTTAATTTAGATTTCTTGAATAACCAGTGATGTCAAAGGTTTTTTTCATATATTTATTTGCTGTTTGTATTTCTTCATCTGAGAAGTGTCTGTTTATTTCAGATGTCCATTTTTGGATTGGGTTTTTAAAATTGGTGGGTCTGATTTGTTGGGGTTCTTTATATAATCTACATATTAGTCCTTTGAGGAAGAGTTGGTAAAAAAAGTTTTCCCCATCCTGTGGGTTGTCTCTTCACTCTGTTGGTGGCTTCTTTTGCCGTGCAGAAGCTTTTAAATAAGATGTTATCCCAGTTATTGATTCTTTGTAATAATTCCTGTGCAATTTTTTTTTCCAGGGATTGAACTCAGGACCTTGCACTTGGGAGGTGGGCAGCAGCACCTCTGAGCTAAATCCCCACCCCATAAGTTATTTTTAATATGAGCAAAAATTGGCAACTGAGGAGTGGTTCACTTGTGACTGTTTATCTACTAGCAGTTACAACTCAAACCCAGGACAGTTTTTATACTGCGCTACAAATGAAGAACAGTTCAATAAATTTCTTGAATTGGAAAACATTCTTATACTTTCATTAAAAAATAAATAATAGTTACAATGAATTGGAAATTATAGATTTTTATACAGTATATGATGGCAACATAATATTTGAAAATTAAGCAGTTTAATAAAATGTACAATTTTAAAAACAAGTTTTGACAATGGCATTGCTAGTTATATGTAAAGATAAAAATGGCAGGTATAACATTAAAATTCTCTGTTATTCTTGCCTTTCAATAGATATTTTGACTACATCATTAACATTGAAGCAAACCTTATTTAAAGCTTACACATTTCAAACTAACAAAAACTATATATGTAAACCAGAAAGCCTCAAAGTTTCTTAAATACTATAGTCCCCACAAAAGGTTGTTAAGTTAGTATAGTAATTAAGACAGATTTCATAGCTTTTGAAATACTGTTATATCTGTTACTAATCTGTTGCTTAAACTGCCTAACGGCCTCCTGGTCTACCAAAACATATACATTCCCTCAACACTTTTTCTAGCTTTGAATTTATGCTAATGTATGTTTAACTATCTAGTATGAATCCTTTACATAATGCCTCAGAAAATAGCAAAAAAAATTATATACTGAGTTTTACAATATACACAGACTGTGAGAAGTCAAATCGGCTATGAGAACAGGAAAAGCTCAAAGGTGGAAAAAAAGAAGTGATCCAGCAACAGCTTTTCCATGAATACAGACAATGTTTTCTTCCTCTGAATTTGAATTTCTTTCTCTAAATTATTAACTAATTTAATAATATATTGCAGAAATAAATTTCAAAAATACATATTCAAGAAACACTGATTCTATTTGAGATGTAAAAGATTAAGATTAATTGTGCCAAGACAAAACTTTCACTAGAAATCTATTATAAACTGGAATTGGTTGCAAAAGAATTTGTATTATTGTGATGTAAGGCAAATTACATATTAGCTTAATTCACATTTTAAAAATAAATTGAAAAATATGTAACTCTTCTAAGCTGTTTTCATTTTAGCAAAATTTGTTAATGATTGGGTATGTGATTTCTAGTCCATAGGTCTTAGAATGTCTTCCTTTAAGTTGATGGTGATGAGCCATGTTTGTATCTCAACACAATTGAATAATTAGATCATAATCTCAGTGGAAGTCATATGGGACTGTAATTAAAAATTTGGTTCTTCCCCTTGAAAATAATAAAATATATTAGCAAGTGAAAAGTGATGTACTGAATTCTGTACAAAAATCACATGTAAAATATAGTGTAACTTCTCCCAGTTAGCTTTTTGTGCAGAAGAGTTTATCTTCCTCACAAATGATGAATGTAGCTTAAACATTTAAATTTGTGGGGCTGGGCATGGTGGTGCATGCCTGTAATCCCAGCACTCAGGAGGCTGAGACAGAAGGATTGCCTTGAGTTTGAGGCCAGCCTGGGCTACATAGTGAGTTAAAGTACAGCCTGAATTACAGGGCAAGACCCTGTCTCAAAAAGAAAATAGTAAATAAATTTGTGGGAAGAGTACGTGAAGAGGGAGAGAAAAATCAAAGAACTTACAGTTGTTGTCAAATATACTGAGACAAAAAACTAAGATCCCTATTTGAGCTGAGAATAACTCTCTCCCTCCTTATCTTAGATCATTTTCCTTTATTTGTAAGGAGTAGCCAATAAACAGGACCCAAGAGGAACACTGTGGTATAGAATGCTGGTAGAACAAAGCAAACTGGATCATTGAAGAGGTGTTTCTTAATCTCCAAGTAGGCTGGCATTCAAAACTTTTTTTTTTTTTTTGGTATGGGGGATTGAACTCAGGACCTTGCACTTGCTAGGTAGGCAGCAGAACCACTGAGCTAAATCCCCAGCTCCATGGTAAATACTTAAAAAATATTTTGTTATTAAATTGATATTTATAATCTCTTTACTATTCAGTGTGGTGAATGAAATTGTTTCATCTTTTATTCATTGTCTACGCTAAGAGTGTTTGTGTTCAGATATCCCCCTAAAGCTTCATGCTGTCATAGGTGGGGCTTTTTCAGAGGTGGCTGAATCTAGAGTGTGTGATGCTGGGATTAAGGGTTTGTGATTACTAAATCAGTCCACTGATTGGTTTGGCACTGCCCTAATCCCAGTAGCCTAGATAGAGTATTGAAGGGGCAAAAAGAAGCTGCTAAAGTCCCTTGCTTGCTTTGCTACTTTCTGCCTGCCATGAACTGTTTTTCCTCTGCAGTGCCTGTCTGTCGTATCACACTGCCTTGGATCCAGTCAATTATGGGCTGAAACCTCTACAAACTGTGAGCTAAATAAACTCTTCCCCCTTTAACTTTGTTTGTCAGGTATTTTGTCTCAGCATTGAGAGAAAAGTAACAAAGACAAAGAGATTAAATTAGCTTAGCCATTTTCTGTAGATAGGATATTTATGAGGAAAAAATTTCTTAATATCTCATCCTGCATTATGAACAAATTAAAAAATTACATTTCAACAGCACCAATTCTATTAATATGGCCATCCAGATTCAATTAAAATTAACATAAACAGAACAGAGAACTTTAGTGCTGTTATACCTGGTTTAAAGTCTTATCAATTGAAAAAGATGCTTTTGTTATTATTCTTCTCATTTGTCAGTTTTGCCCAAAGTTAATATAAGCTGTCTGTCTCTTTAAAAATGTACAAAAATGATTTATTGTCATAAAACAGCTCAAATCAGGAAATTAAGATTATGAGCCTGACACTGTATGTGTATATATGTATAGAAATTATGAGAATAATGAAAACAAGTTCATTGTCTATGATACAGGATATATCATCAGATAAGACTGAACTTTTGGAAAACTGATCCCACCATTGTAAACACACACACACACACACACACACACACACACACACACACACACACGGTGAATCATAGCATTATTATCCCTTGTTCTTTCTGAATAACATAGTCAAACTTTGTAAATGATAAGAAAAACTATCTCATACAAGCAGATTTTGTTCAAATACTTAAAATACTTTAGTCAATGAACTTTTGTAATAACAATATAAAATCTTTTAGCGTGGATTAACAGCACATATAAGTATTACACTGCCTTCTCAAAGAATACTGCATAAGTTCCAGTTTTATATGAGTTTTAAATCCCTGAAGGTATTTTATCTCTGCAGTTTTATTATGTCTTTTAAAAGTTAATTCAGCCGGGGATTTAGCTCAGTGGTTTCACCGCCTGCTGCGCAAGCACAAGGACCCAAGTTCGATACCCCGTACCAAAAAAAAAAAAAA